ATAAAGAGTTCAAACTGCATTCCTATTAAGGAACGGGGATCACACCCAAATCCTCTGTGAGCTACCCGAGTGCTCACTAGATCAATGACAGTGGGACAGAATAACAACAGTCCAAGGCTTCTGCTTTCAGACCAAGATGACAGTTCTGCAGGAGACGAATTGGTACGTGCCTTCCTGAAGCTGCAATATCCAACACTTTGCAGACAGCAACCAACTGCACAGGTGCTAGGAAGAATATGGTCAGTACCTGCTATACCAACTAATTACCTCCCTTGCATTGGAGGACATGAAGGGCAAAGGGACTCTAGTGGGGCTTGCCAAGGGATCAGGCATATGGACTACCTCTCCCTAGACTCATAGCCAAAAGGACCAACCAACCTGTGGCCTGAGTGAATTCTGGGTTTCCAGGTTCTAGACACCCCTGCCCTGAGCTGCAGACCTTGTTGCAAGGGCAGCACCAGCTGAACAGCCTGGGTTTCACCCCAGGCTATTAGAAGCCCAGTGGTGCAGTAGCCCCAATGCTGCAGGGCTGTGGCAAACTGCAGCCCCAGCAGCACAAGACAGCCATGCCAACTGCTCATGCACAGGGCCACAGCAGTTACAGAAGCACGATTCGAGAGATGCTGCTCTACTTGCAGAAGTGCCAGACGATTTGGATAGCCTGGAAGGGCTTAGAGTAGCACACACTTTCAGAGCCACAGCCACCAAGTGTCATGACTGGACTCAACTCCCCAGACAGGCAGGAACCCCCACTTACCATGCGGGACAGGGAGAGCGGAGGCCGGTTGGTGCGGCTCATGAAGAGGCGTTTCAGGATAACCTTGTTGAAGCTGGCATTAGTGCGGCGGGCCAGGAAGCGGTACAGCTGCAGAAGAGAGCACCATCAGGCCCTATCACACAGGGACCTGAACACTCTACCACACCCTGAGCAGTGGGGCTCTGCACTGAAGAAGGTACCCTACTCCAAGCTGAGCACATCCCACAGGGAGGCAACAGTGGTCAGGAATAGAAGCCAGGTGTCCTTGCTCTCAGCTGCCCCTCCCCCATACCAAATCCCATCCTCCTACCAGAGCTGGGAAAGAACACAGGTGCCACTGCCACTACCCCAGACACAGGCCCCCACTCCCCCCATCTAACACTCTATTGGACACAGGAAAGCTGTCTAAGAAAGAGGAAGCCTGGGCTTACCTTGACCAGGAGGCGGAGATAGATGTCTTGACTCTTGGGTTCTTTGCGGCGAACCTTGCGGTCCTTGTTATGTCGAATGTCCACCCCCTATAGTAAGAGTGAGGCTCCTAAGTGCTGAGTACCATCTGGCCCCTAGGATCCCACACCACGCTGCCTCTGCACTTGTATGAGGGGGTGCTGGAGAGCACATGTACCAGGGCTCCTGCCCCACCATCCTCTCCTCAGTGCCCCTACACCAGGAGGCACAATACAGGCAAGACCTTGCACACCCCCAGCTCTTATCCTTCAAGTGCCCCTAGCATGCCCAATAGCTGCCCCCCCCCCCCCAACATACCTCTTCACCCTATCCAGAGGGGCCTCTTCTGCCACACAGGCCTCGGACAGGTACTCTTCCCTTCCCCTCCCCCCGCAAGTGCCCCTACTTCCCCTGACTACCAGGTGCCCAAAAGCCCCCCAGTGCTGCCTCCCTCATCACAACAGATCCTCTGCTCATTAAGTGCCAAGTACCCTCCCCATCCCCTGCACTGTTACCTCCCACCCCAGCCCAACCCCTCCCTGGCACAGCGCGGCCCCTGCTCCCCGGGGCACCACACCGAGTCCCCACAGGCATCCCTCCTGTGCAGCGCCGACCCCGGTTCCCCCCACACGGTGGCTCGGGCCCCTGCCAGCCAGGCCCCACGGGTACCTCCCCGACAACGCTGCCCGCTACGGGCTCCGCTCCGGCCGCCCGCAGGCCCCCGCTTCCCCCGGCTCACACCCCGCTCGCCCCGCGACCCTCTTCCACAGCAGCGGATGGCGGTGGATTGACCCCCCGCGAGACTCACCATGGCGGCAGCAGCAGCAGCGCGGGCACCAAAAGAAAGAAGAGGCCTTCGCGCGGAGGGTTATGGGAGACGTGGGAACGGCGCCCTCTATGGCCCACGCAGCGCGCACAGGCGCCTACTGGGGGCCGCTCTAGCCTAAGCACTCTGTGGTGGTGGAGGACTTACCCGCTCTAACCCGGGCGAGTGGGCGCAGCAGGGTCGGGAGCGGCCGTGGAGGTGCTCGGGGCAGCCCCGCAGTTCCCGCCGGCGTACACTCGAGACTCCCCTGGAAAATGCTGGTTCTTTCGTTTCATTTGTGGGTTTTTTATTACAGAAAAATCCCAGAGTAGCTGTGCCGTTGCAGAGAGCTCCGAACCCCCCAGAGCAGGGTCACACCACGGATTGCTATGAAAAACCTCTGGGTTCATCATGCGAGTCACCTCTGCGCACCCAACAGCACGGGCATTGCCGGGCATCCCTGAAAGGGTCTTAAGGCACCTGGTTGAGAATCACTGGTACAGACCCGAGCCAAGGGCTCAGGGAGGGGAGGCACTGGCCAGCTTGAGCTAGAAAGTGCATCTGAATAGACTAGAATAGGCCAGCCAGGGAGCTCACCCTTGGTGCTGGTTGAACAACAGCACCTGTCCCACAGGCAGTTTCAAGATTTTGAAATGTTGTTTCATCCTAAAATGCAAATGAAAGGTTGAAATCTCAGCATTGTTCTTAAACTGCGCTGTGTTCTCCAGGGCAAGGTAAGGTCGTTACTGGGGCTGGGGGCTTGAGTAGGGCAGGGGTGCGTGACTGCCTGTTCCACATTAGACGTCTTGCCTATGTTGAGCCCAAACCTTTGTCATTTCCCTCAGAGAGGTCCGATAAAGTCAGCCCAGATGTAGGAAACCTTGCAATTTTTTTGCCCTTTCCGCACAGAAAATGCCCCAGTTGGAATTTTTTTTCACCAGGTTCTATTCATGGTCAACCCACAGCCGCTTATAAGCTCAAATAGTGGGGAAGAAAAGAGACAGAGGGGCTCTGCTTATGGTATCATCTACAGCAGGGGTTCCTAGCCCCCGGGCTGCAGTGCCAGGCCATGAAGGGTTGGCTGCTGGTCCGCAGGAGGGCTGGTTGCTGAACCAGAAGTGACCGTGAACTGGCAAACTGCAAGTGACTGGCATGCTGCAGACCAGCAGCCAACCTTTTTTATACTGAGTATAAAAAAGGGCTGGCTAGCTGCTCACAGTATTCCAGTCACTGCTGGTCCACAGCTTGCTGGTCACTTCCAGTCCACGGCTTACCTGTCCTCAGCCTAAAAAGGTTGGGAATCCCTGATCTACAGCATATAGCTGCATTTAGAGCAGCAGGGGCCAACCTTTTTGGCAAGTATGATACAAATTAGCCCTGCACCCTCCCCTCTCTTCTGCCAATCTGATGCTCTGCTTCCTACCCAATATTCTGCTCTTCACTCTGCTCACTGCCCAAGCTGCCTGTTCTCTCCCTGAGCTGATGTATGCCACACGCAACAGCTGCCTGTGCCATTTTTGGCACTCATGCTGCAGGTTGGCCAGCCCTCATTTAGCAAAAGTGCAGAATTTTCTTCACCAGTCAGGAATTCAGCATCAGAGACTGACTGTGATGATACAGAACAGACCAGCCATACTTCAATCCCACTCAGCATATGTGGATACTGGTGTAAGATAGAGCAGAGCCAGCTACTGACCGAGGCCTGAGCATCTAACCACAAACACAGGTAATTTGTGGGAACAAGGTTTACGTGTTTGAGATGCTTATGAGACTGCTGGTGGCTGCGCTTATGCCCTTTGGCATTTTGATCCTCCCAGCCTCTGTGTAAGGCAGGGCCAGGTGAACGTTCCCCCTTCTTATAGATGGAGAAACGGAAGCACAGAGGAGCTAAGGGACAGGCTCAAGGCCAGATGGAGCATCTATGGCAGAGTAAGATACAGGAGCTGGGTTGGCAGTGCTATAGCCAGCGCCCAATCTGGCGAGCTCTGGAAAAGGAGTGGACAAGATGCCTATAGTTCCTCTCAGAGCAGCTGCATTTGCAGCTGTCAGTTCGAGGAGGATCTTAGCGTCTAGCAACAGTCGCTGGTGCTTGGCAGAGGAGGCCAGGAGTCCCTATCCTCACGTGGGGTAACCGAGGCATGCCTGAGTGGAGCAGAAGGGCATTGTGTGGGAGGTACAAGCCCTCTGTTGGCCATGGAGTGGTGCATGCTGGGATCCGACACCGTTTCCCTCTGCGTGATGATTAGTCTATAAGGTGCAAGTCCCCTCCGCCTTTGTGTCTTGGTTTGTTCATCTCCTGCCCCCCGGCCACACAGCGAGTTCCTCGTGCCCGTACAGAAGATGAGGCTTGGCCAGGCCCATCTGGAACCAGGCCAGGGGCAGCACGGCATTGCCCTCAAGAAAGATGGCCCCTGGCTAGTGCTCCAACATACAACGTGAAGCAGTAGCTGGTGCCCACACCAAAGATGGCCACCACGCCGATTTTGATTCAAAAGGAGCTGTTTCTGGTTCCCCTAACAAAAATGGCTGCCTTCGCCATTGGCTTTCCTTTGCCCACACCCAAGATAGCCGCCCGTGGCGATCAGATTTCCGTGGAGAGCGTTCCTGGTTCCCATAACAAAGATGGTCTCCCTGTCCGCTCCTTTAGAAATTGCCCCTTCCCAATATGGCCGCCGCACCGCATTCACGGAACTCCACTAGGCCATTCCTTTCGCCCACAACAAAGATGTCCCCGCTTTGCTATTGACTCCAATGGAAGGCGAAGCTGTCTGCGATCGCCCACGCCCAAGATGGCCGCCCACTGTCG